TTCTTCTTTTTTTTTTTTTTTTTGGTACCGGGGATTGAACTTGGGTCCTTGCGCTTGCAATGCAGTCCACCGAACCGCTGAGCTAAATCCCTGGCCCCTGCTTCTTGTTTTTTTTAGATCAACTCTCTTAGCTTCCACATGAGTGAAAACAAGTGGCGTTTATCTTTCCACATTTGGCTTATTTCACTTACTCTAATGTCCTCCAGTTCCATCTCCTGAAAGGTGCCTTCCTGTGTCCTCACATGGCAGAGAGGTCAAGGCCCCATCTTTTCCTATAGTGTTTGTTATGTTCCAACTTTAGAACTTTGAGGGACCAACAGTCAGACCATAGCATTCTACTCCTTATTCATGTCCATCTCATGTGCAAAATACATTTATTAATTCCCCCCAAAGTCTAAATTTGTTATGGCACCAACACAAAAGTCTAAAATCCAAAGTGTTATCCAAAGCAGGTCTGGGTGAAACTCAAAGCTGTGATTCATTTTAGGGCAAATGATCTGGCTGCGAGCTCATGAAATCAGAGTTGTGTGCTCCCCAGATCCAGTGAGGGGATAGGCCCAGGGCAGACATTTCCCTCCCAAATAGGAGAAGTAGGGAAGAAGAAAAGGCTAACGGGTCTGAACCAAATCCAAACCTGGCAGGGCTCTATCTGGCAAGCTGTGCCCTAATGCTACCATCTTGACTACTCTATTCTTTCTCTTTACTTCTTGTCTTCTCAGAACCTACTACAATAAGTAAACATTCTGTACTCATTTTAATGGGACTATTGTTTGGTTGTAACTTGCAGAGTGAGCTCCATGAAGGAACTTACTCATTCTCCTTCCTGCTATTTCCCCAGTGCCTGGAACAGTTGGTGTTTGTTCAATGAACGAAGAGTGAATGATGGTGTTGAATGAATGGGAGGAAGTCACATGGGTGCCACCTTCAGGAAGCTGGCCATATCTCCTCCCAGCTGAAAATGGCCTCCCGAGCACTTGAACCATCCCCGGATGTTGTTTGCAGGGCTCTTGGCGCTTTGCCTTCTGCTTTCCACTCTCTTTTCATTCGGGCCTTCACTAGCACCCCTCAGCCCATTGAGGACAGGGACTCTGGGTCATCTGTGAACGCTCCCCCTGTGTGTGGACTTGTTGAATGGACGCATGGATTCGATAGACTTCACCTTTTGCCGCTTTTTAGGAGGGCTTTCTGGAGCAGGTAGGACTCGAAGTGACCTCTAACAGGTTGGGAAATTTACAAAATCGAAGGAAAGGGTTTTCTCCTTTGTGCTGAGGATTGAATCCAGAGCTGTACACCACTGAGCTACATCCTCAACCCTTTTTATGTCTATTTTGATATAGAATCTCGCTAAGTTGCTGAGACTGGCCTCAAAGTTGTGATCCTCCTGACTCAGCCTCTAGTGTAGCTGGGATTGCAGGAATGTGCCACCACCCCTGACTGGAAGGTCTTGTCAAGGCCTCTGGGCAGATAGCATTTTCTAAAAAAGGCCACAGCAGCATATCCAGTCCCACATGCTATTCCAGAGCCTTGGTCCTGTCCAACGAAGAGCAGGAGTCAGCGTCCTCCCCCATGAGCTTGGACAGACCTTGTGACCGCCTAGACAAACAGAATCAGGACTGGCTACATAAGTTGTGGGGCCCGGTGCAAAATAAAAACGCAGGGCTCTTGTTCAAATACTGTGGATAATTTCAGGATAGTGGCGGCATAGCATTAAATCAGCAGAGCGGCA